TTTCAAAATTATTCTCCTAGTTCATTGAAGATTCTTTCAATTTTGATTCAAAATTATCAAAATTTTTGAGAAGATATATCATGAAGATCCTTTCAATTTAAATTGATAAGTGTTGTATTTCTACTAGATACATTAAATAAGAAAATGTTGCCCATAAGATTTTAAGTTTGAGATTGATACATTATTGTTTGGCAATTGTTATGTATCAGATATATTTAGTATAAATTTGAATTTACGTATCATAACTAAAAAATTAGTGTATGATACATTATTATTTATGTATCTTATTTTGTTTGAGAAATACTATATTTTAAAATTAAAAAAAATACATTATACATGTAATTGTTTCAAAATAGTTTCTTTTTTGTGTGTGTGATAAATAACACAAAGTTTATTTATCAAGTACATTTCTATTGAACATGATAAACACTAATCAAAGATTCAACAACATTAGAGTTATGTATCAACACCTTACATATGAACATTATACATTGCATAAAACAAATGGTATTGTAGCAATGATGTATTAGATCAATGATAACACTAACAAAGACTAATTTAAGACTCAAAATAAATGAGATACATTAAAAATATGTATCTTTGATAGTGATGGCTGTGCTATGGCAGATCCAATTTTTTGGACGTTTTTCAATAGTAGAAACATTAAAAGAAAATAAATATTTTTCAAGAAAATTTTCAACGACAATATGATTAACTAAAATTGCAAAGGTTCAATAAGATTTCAATGAGGGCAGGGGGCGAAGGTAATTTTATTATTATTTTTTAAGATGAAAAAATTAAAAAATAATAATAAAAGAAATCGAAAATTGAAGTGATGGAAAGAAATCTACCTCTTGAATAATTTGAAATCATTAATTGGAAATAGAAAAGATTTGAAATTCAAAAATAGATTAATTGATAAACTTGAGAGAGATATCTTCTGAAAATCAAAATGAATTTGAAATTTGTAACTGCTAAAGAAGTGGAGAGAATTTAGGGATAAAATTGAGGAGTGAAATGGGGAGTGGGAAACGTGGGTGTAGGCTGAAAATATGAGTGAAATATTTATGTATCTGAAAGATTTTATGAATTGGGAGAATTAAGGGATTTTTGAAATTTTAAAAAAAGATAGGGATAAATGAATATTAAAGTAAGTAAATGTGTGTATATAAGTAATTTTCCCTTTTTTGTTTATACATAACATATATATATATTATGCATTTATTAATTTGATTTTATGATTGAAAAATCGGGCTGACGTCAATCCTTAGACCAATTAACATTTTTTTGAAACTCAAAGATAATGGATTAGTCCCCTAGTTTTCTTCATTCAAAAACCAGACTTGTTTTGCTGAAAGAGTTCAGACTTGTGAATCAATAATCAAGAATGACCATCAATTTGTATCAAGACTTTTGTGTTTGTGTTGGTGGGGGTGGGGTGGACATAATCTTGAATTATTTCCAGCAAAATTACAGCATTAAGAGAGAATTGACCAGATAACACATGGTTTGACCAAATTTTAAGGTTGGGACATTAGGTAGGTACATGAAAGAAAAACAAATAAACAGTATATATATAAAGAGACAGCCCCTACAGCTGGAAACAATGAGGTAAAATTATGGGGATTAGATTCCCTAATTCCTTTATTATGTTATATGAGGACCCAATGGCCCTATGGAGAAGGCATTATTATTTCTTAAAAACAAATACTAGTATTTATTATATAGTATACATTAAAGAAAAGATGAGACTGACACATATGAATATTAAAAACCAAATAGAAAATGAATGAAAAGCAGAAGAGTAGGGAGTATTATTATTGAGTAGTACTTAGCCTTGTCAACAGCAGCACTATCTTTTCAATTGTACAAATCTTAAACCTCACACTTTATTATCTACCCATCAATCAAAGCAACTTCTCTACAGTAGCATCTTTGAAATACAATTTGCGGGGCCCATTCTTTTTAAAAAATTTTTTTACAAATTTTAATTCCTAGAAACTCAATATTGCAATATTTTATTAAGTACTTCTTTTAACCCTATGAGTCTAGGCCCTAGGAATCAAGACTGAATTGAATGGTGTTGACACTTCACGCTAGGTTAAAAGGTTGATGGTGTTTAGATTGTTGTTATGTTAAGGCTATTTGAACAACTTATACGTATTTTGAAAGATATTAAACTAAGATAGTTTGTTACAAAAATAATATATAAAGTATTGTCGAGATATTCAAGGCACAAGTGACTTGTGAGTAGCCTGAATACAATGAAAGTGGCTCCGGCGTGGTGTGCACCTTATAGTATAGACTATGTGGATCCTTTTGGTGGATTAAATTTGATGTTTTAATTCATTTTTAGTATGTTATTGATGTTGTAACTCATTTGGAATTTGATTTGACAACAATTTGGTATGTAGTTATATATTATAATAGACTAAAAAAAAGATAGAGACAAATAAATTGAAATGAACAGAGTATATAGTATATACTATACAAACTTCTTTTATGTATGGAATAAAGAGTTCGAGCTTTAAAAATAAAATTAGTTTTAGTAAATGTGTTTTACTACTTATAATGAGACTTCTCAGTACAAATTCATAATAATCAAATTTCAAAATAGACGTAGAATAAGAAACTAAAAAGAATACATCCCTCTATTCTATTTTTTGTGATATTATTATTTCACAGGAATCAAATAATTCCTCATTAAAAATTTAAAAGTTTATTACATGAAATGTGGTCTTATATTGTTTTTAAATATGTAAAAGACTATTTCACAAATTTAAGATATCAATATCCAAATTCACGTCAAGATTAGATAATAGACTGTTCACACTTTGAATCTTTTTTTTTTTGGAATAAAGGGAGCAAGTAAAAGAAACTATAATATTTGTTTCACATTCTCGGACATTAAAATTGTTGTGAAGTTAAATTGAGTATGCATCAAATGGTTTTGGTAAAAGAAAAAAATATAATACTTGTCACTTTTTAATTTTTGATAATCAATTAAACTAATCATCACAACTAAATTGAATTAATTAAATTCAATATCTTAAATAACCATGTTATAAATTACAATTTCTTTCATATCAAGATAGTGTAAAAGTTAAAATATTGATCAAAATTCATATTATTCAAATTTTGAGAAACAAAATACTCTCTCTTTTCAAATTTACATGACACCACTTTTGAGATTTGTGATCAAAAATAAATTTTAGATATTTATAAATCAATTAAAGATATTTTGTTGTAGGGAATATAATATTACTCTACATATCTGTGTTAGAAGCATCAAATAAGAAATGCAGGCCTAGTACAGCAGTATACATCATCAATCAAAATTGAGAAGTGATTTGGTGGGCCATAACATGCATAGTACACAGTAGTAATGAACAGTAGAACTCATGGAGTTTTGATGGACCAGAGAAGCACAAGATTATTTCTGAAAGAGGAGAAGAATTGTGAGGTTAGTTGGCACTCATAGAAAATAAAATGAGTGTGTAACAGCAAAGAGAGCTCTGTTACAACAGTTGGCAAAATGTGTCAGTTAAAAATTAGGAAAAAAATGAAAAGTTATGTCAAACTTGGCCTTCAAGAGAAGAACAAGAACCTCTCCAATATGTTGTATGTGAAATCATTTAATAAGGTTGTTCGGTGCAATAAACTTTCGTTAGGTAGATTCAGGGCCGTCTCAAAGTAATTGGGGAGCGTAAAACGAAATTTTAATTTATATAAACAAACTATTCAAAAATTATTTTTCTTACACTATTTAGATGAAAATTATTAGTATTTAATATTGTTTTTCAGTCATTGATTTTAGGTAAAATTTTATCGACTCAACATTGAAAACATCATTTCAGTGAGACAATTATTATATGAATTGTTAACATAATTTTATAAGTAATAAGTTGACAAATATTAAATAAAGATAAGAGTTAGAACCATATAATCTGATTTAAGAAGTTGATGACTTCGTATATACCATTTTAATATGCTTGTTGTAATGTTTGAAACTAAAATTTTAAAAGAAATAAAAAATAATTTGTAATTCACTTTGTTCAACACTTTTCACTATTAATTCTTATTTTTAACAAAGTATAAAAGATGTTAAAGTGGGTAAAATAATATATTTTTTTATCATAATTAATCATTTTTTTCTATAAAATTTAACACATAATTTATTCTGGATAATAATTTGAGGCCCCCAAATTAGGCATAAGCCTTGTTTTACAAAGGCAAGAGCCGCCCTAGGTAGATTTGAGAAAAGGGTTAGACTAATGTACACCGTTTTATCCTATATTTCTGTAAAAGTGTAAAGAAATAGTTTTTAGGTCTAACTCAACCCTGAAGCTCAACGAAAAACGGATTATCCAAGTCATATAAAGAGTCTAAGATTTTATCATCATACTCAACAACTTGCCTCACATCTAGAACTGGAGATGTTTTGATAATTTAATATGAGGATCCAACATCTGTAAATTATAACCTAGTATAAATGTGGCTTTGATATCAATTAAAGAAAACAAACTTTGAGTCTAACTCAACCCCAAAAATTATCCAAATCATACAAAGAGTTCAAAATTACTTTATCCCACCAAATGTAAGACTCAATACATAGATTGTTTCTACGGTTTCAATCTGTGACATCCTGATCACATGACAACAACTTTATGAGTTATGCTGAAAGACGGTATGTGAAGTCATTTATTAATTGGAAATAATAAAAAGCATAATGTATAGGAATGAGTGTATGTGTTTACAATATTTTAAAGGAAAGGAAATTACAAGGAGTAAAGTATGGGAAAAAAAGGGGAAGGATTAGGTTCTGTAATAATTTAAGCAACCATTTCTGTAAGAGCAGTTGGCAGTAGTTAGTATGTCTTTTATAAAATCATAGATGTCACCATTTTGCTTGGGCAGGTAAAATACCTTTAACTATCTTCTTAAGTATTACTTATTACTATCTCTTTCTAAAAATATATATAATTTGATCTATTTATTATAAAGTTTGCTTCTTTACTAGTTCTTGAAAGTACCCCAGTTGGTGAATTTAAGTGGTGTAAAAGGGGTACTATCAAACACCCAATTTAGGCTACTGTATGTTATATAATTGGGGTTAGGAATTAGTGCTTTTTATTGGCATTTTTAGCTAAAATATTTCAGAATATCTGAAAAGTCTCGTTGGAGTCTATTCTTTTTTCTTGATACTTGTGGGGCTTTGAGTTGTTTTTTGATTCTAAGCTTCAGCTGAGACAATTGGTATATTTCCTTAACAAGAACCTTTTTCTTTAACAAACCCCATTCTCTTCTCCATATTGAATTTGCTGGAAGATAAAAAGAACAGTGAAGAGCTAAGGTTAATGTGAAGCTTGTAACTTTCTCTTTGCTGTTTTTAATAGTAGTAAACAAAAGGAATCTGCTTTCTTTTCTATTAGTGTGAGCTGTTATTTCACCAATGCTTTTCACTTGTTCATTTGTCTACTTTATGCTCTGAAAGTTTCATACTTTCTTGTCTCTGGGAATTAACTACTTTTTTTCCATCTTATTAGACTAGGCTTGATCCTAGGGTTCTTGAAAACAAACAAGAGGGGTTAAAGATTTTATGCCTGCTACTTTGGATTTTTTTTTAATTTTTTACCTTTGTTGTGTGTTTATAGGATGCTGCATTGAGAGATTTATTTTGCTTTAAAGCTGCCAAGTTATTTTGTTCCTTGTTGAGTCTTGCAAGATATTACTAGTTCTTTTTGGTCAAACCCCACTTTACCTTTTCTTTTTTATTTTTCTTGCACAGAGTTCCTTTCTGTCAAATAACAATCAAGTTCTTAGCTTTGGTTAAAAACATTGCATTGGTGTTGTTGCCTTTTTGAAGGTTGCACGAATTGAGTTCAGAACTAAATTTGTGGATCCTGAGCTCTCTGTCTTTGTATTTTCTTGAAAATGGGTACTAAGGAAACTGGTTCTTTCAATTGCCCTTCTACTGGGATGAATAGAGCAGATTCAATGCCTAATGTTGACCCTTTTAGTGGTTCTGGTTGGGATCCACTTCTTTCACTGAATCAGAAGGGGGGATTTAAAGGATCTTCAGTTGTTGGTCATAATGAGTTTGTCAATTTGCCTTATCAATCATCTCAGTTTGTTCACTATCCATCTGATTCAAATCTAGCTGAAATGGTCCCAAAGATTCCAGCTTTTGGAAATGAAAGTTACTCAGAACTGGTCAATACTTTTCCTTTACAAGAACAGCTAAGAGGGGCAAATTGTTATGCTAACTATGTTAAGAACAGAGGGATTTCCACTGAAGGAGAGTGCCAAATTTCTGGTGAAGGTGCTGTGGAGGTTTCACCTAATGGGAAGAGGAAAATATCAGAAAACCATTCTTTATCCAATGCCAACAAGGTATATTGCTATCTTTTTCAAGTCTTTCCTGTTAGTAGGTAGTAGTGCATTGTCTTGTTGTTTGTTCATATTAGTAGTCCTAGTATTGCTCGTATAGTTTCTTGCCCTTTGATTTATGTTACTATCTATTGATTCCTTATACCTCAATTATCATATTATTTTCTTGTTGTTTATGTTTTGTTACTATATGCTATTTTTGTTATTAGCTATTGTTTCTTCTACTTCCTTTACTTCTTTTGTCGGACTGCTTTGAAATGTTATTTCTTGAGATGACAATCTATCAGAGTAGGGCTAAGGTCTACATACTCTCTACCCTCCCCATACCCCACTCTGTGGGATTACACTGGTTAAGTTATTGTTGTTTTTAAGTCTTACTGATCATTGGTGTTGCTACTAGAAAATGTCCATTTAGTTTTTGTGCTTTCTTCAATATAGAATGTTGAAGGAGAGCTGCAGAAGGCTCCATCAAGAGATAGTTCAGACTGTTCAAAAGAACAAGATGGTGGAAAAAGACACAAAGCAGACCAAAATGTTAGTTCTAATTCAAGGAGCAAGCAAGCAGGGAAACAAGTTAAGGATGACTCTGATGGTGGAGAACCTCCTAAGGATAGTTATGTTCATGTTAGGGCTAAAAGAGGGCAAGCCACAAACAGCCACAGCCTTGCTGAAAGGGTAACTTATAGTCTCCTACTGGCCTTAAAAGATAATGTTGTAATCAATTTAAGTTGTTTATCTTTTCTTGACATAATGAATGAATCTTAAAAGTCATTCTTGCTGGCAGGTGAGGAGAGAAAGGATCAGTGAGAGGATGAGATTGCTTCAAGAATTAGTTCCAGGCTGCAATAAGGTATTTACTAGTTTTATTGTTGCTTAACCTTTTTGTTTAATTGTGATGTATGGTTAAAATTGTTAAATTTTATTTTCAACAGATAACTGGAAAAGCTGTGATGCTTGATGAGATTATCAACTACGTGCAATCGCTGCAACAGCAGGTTGAGGTAAATATGATAGCCCCTGGCTCATAATTGTGTTTTCTGTGCCTGATCAGAGCGAATTGTGATTTACTATTGTAGCACAATTTTAGATAGACAACTAAATCATGTAGGATTAATCCAATGGTGCTCCTTTAACTTATTTTGTTAGCATGAGCTTTTTTCTTCTGATGAAGAATCTTGCGAGATCATGGTTCGTTTTGAGAAAAGTAAGCTTGGCCTAACAAATTAACTTAAGAGGGATCCATTCAGAAGTTGTCTGTGATAAATGAGTATTAATTTTGACTTAAGGATATGTTCATTGTACCGGTCTAATGCAGGGAAAAGTATTATTTTCCTGTGTTAGAACAAGTGTTTTTGGTCATCCTGTGTTAGAATAAGTGTTCCATGCTTTCAAGAACCGATTAAACTGATTCCAAATTGATCTGATTCGATGTTGCAGTTCCTGTCAATGAAACTCGCTACTGTAAATCCGGAACTGAACTTCGATATTGATCGTATTTTATCAAAAGAGGTAAGTTTAAATATAGTGTTTGTGATCATCTATATTCAATGTTTAACTATGAAGTTGAAAATTCACTTGCTTACCCTTAAATGTAGATGCTCCATCAGCAAACTAGCAATGCAGCTCTTCTTGGTCTTGGTCCAGGGCTAAGTTCCTCTCTTCCTTTTCCTGGAATTTCTCATGGAAGTTTTGCTGGTATCCCCGGAACGACACCACCCTTCCACCCCTTGCCTCAGGTATAACCAAAGTTCTCTCATAGGAAAAAAACTTATGTGCACTCTATGTCCACGCCAAGCAAATAAATGCAAGACCCGACTCAACATATACACTGTTAACACTAAACCATAGTTAGGTAATATGCAAATTGTTGTTTGATATGTGACTCATATAGTAAATGTGCCGTTTAACTTGGTTTCAGTTGACATTTATGTGCTCCCAATTTGAGCGTGCACTCGTAGACACTTAAACTTGTATAAAGTTGAACAAGTAGACACGCGTCCTACAAGGCAATTCACTTGAGATACTCTTAAACTTGTATGTATTAAGCAATGTATGATGCATGTGTGTACTTGTTCAACTTTGTACATGTTTAAGTATCTACGTGTGCACGCCCAAAGTTGGAGGGCATATATATTAGCTAATGACAAGTTAGTATTATTGGTTTAGTGTAAATACCGAGAGCAAGAGTATTTTCAGTCTCTCATTCTTGTGGTGGCAAAGACGGGAATTTTGTTCCGGGTGTTCAAGATTAGTACGAATGTATGAAAAATAAACTTTGACCTATACATTTAGTATAATAGTTTATATAACTGAACATCCTTCACTGTACATTGCTACGGCAGTGCATCCTTGTTTCACATTCTACTTATCTTCAAAAAATAATAAAAAATGAAGTCCTATTTTTTTCCGATGCAGAATGTATGGGACAATGAGCTTCAAAGCCTTCTTCAAATGGGATTTGATTCAACTTCATCTATGAACAATATGGGATCAAATGGTACTGCTCCTTAGCTACTACACATACACTCTTTATTGTAAAGAACATGTTCAATCTCTTATTTTTTCCCAAGTATAAAACCGATTTCATGTAAACAGGACGGTCAAAGTTGGATCTGTAGATTCTTTTTCGGGACAGATGTTTGCATTGTTTTACTATGATCAGACGATTCGATTTACCCCAATTGACTGCAAAATGTGTTTTGCATACTTGGACAGAAGATATAGTGAAAATTTACTTTACTTTTTTCTGGAGTTGTATAGGATATTAGCTCCTAACTCATTTTGTGTTCTTCGAGTTTTAGCAGAAGAGATTATTTTAGATTGGTAAGAAATGACTGTACATTGAAAACAAGAAACATCATTTGGGGTATATGATGTCTTGTTTCAATTATGTTTGTGCAAGTGTAAGAATTTGTTTGAGGATTTTTCAGAGAAAAAAACATTGGTGATTCTCTTGTAAAGTCTTGTCATATCTGAAATGATTATCAATATAGTTGTGTTTTCTTTTTCTTACTCTAGTAGCCCTCCTAGTTCAATATCTGAGCTTCTCAATTTCTTCTTTCTGTTGTTTTTTTTCCCCTTGTGTGGCCACGGGCGGATCTAGGTTTGGCAAAACTCAGTAACTTTGGTCTAAACCTTGTATTCGTCTTAAGAAATCCATGATTGTGTACAGATCTTTAATTTGGAATCCAATATATAGCGTAAAAAGGTAAGAATCTCGAATTCACAAAGCTTCAAATTTTGTTGATTTTAAAACTCTAGTTTTCCTCCTGCAACCTTCCCTTGTTGAATATTGGATCCTATCCATTGTCTAATTTTTTAAATATATATAATGTGATGTTTGATGGATACAAAGTTTAAGATGTTAATTTGGCTCATAAAAGGATTTTACATATTAAAAGTAGTTGAAGTGCCACATTATAGTTTAAATTTTGATTTCTTGAAAGTTTCAGAAATTGTATAAATAGTATTATCAGCAAATAAAGTTTAATATTTTGAAATATTCTATATCGAGAATTGTCATGTAAATTGTTGGTGTCAAACAATTTGAAGTATTCTACAACAAAAATAGTGTCATCTAAGAAGGGATCAGGTCCCCTTCAGTAGCATTTTGTCCATTATTCTTCAATGGAAAAGTAGTGAATTTTTAGCTATAGTAGATTTAATTCAACTTGCAAATTAAAGTCAGGAGCTTTAATAAGATGAATAACTTGATGCTTGCAAGGGTTGTACATGAAGTATTGATGTAATTCATTGATGAAGTCAATCGTGAATAACTGAGAATTATTCGAATGATAAACACTCTTTACTTCCAATCCTAAACAAACAGATGGAAGCACCTAGGGAGGAAAAAAACAACCTGTACTCATGAATTTCAAGTAGTACTAGACTACTAGTGTTTTACAGAATCCTCCGTAGGGAGTTAGGGGATCAATACGTACAGTCTCACCATTTTTAGAGTTATTTTTGGGAATTTAAAGGCCAATTTACATCGGACGATTTTCTCAGTTTTTCGTGTGTGCTAGTTCATGAATATTTTGGTGATATGGCTTCTGGACGATTTTTTGTGAAACCTTTTTTAGAGTGATTTTTTGGTATTTAGGGGCCAATTTACAGAAACTAGGAGATTTTCTCAATTTTTCATGTGTGTTAGCCTATGAATATTTTTGTAATAAGACTTCCGTATAATTTTTTTACTAAACATTTACGAAATCCTCCGTAGGGAGTTTGGGGAGCAGTATGTACAAACTCACCATTTTTAGAGTTATTTTTGGGAATTTAAGGCCAATTTATTGGAATTTGGTGATTTTCTCAATTTTTCGTGTGTATTAGCCCATTAATATATTTTGGTCATATGGCTTACAGATGATTTATTTGTGAAACCTTTACGAAACTCTTTGTAGGGAGTCAGGGGAGCAGTACGTACAGTCTCACCATTTTTAGAGTTACTTTTGGGCTTTTAGGGGCCAACTTACGAGAATTAGGCCATTTTCCAATTTTTTGTAAGTATTAGCTCATGAATATTTTTGTTAAATGACTTATGTATGATTTTTTTGCAACACCTTTACGGAAGCCTTCTGTCACGCCCCAAGCCTACACCCTGGACGTGGCCGACACTCAGAGACCATCGTTGGCTTCAAGCGGACCCTTGGCCTGGCTTACTTAACTCAGCAGAAGACTTAACTCAACAGAATACACGCATTACAATAGTTTAAATGATAACATCTTAGCCAAAATGACAACTTATGTCTCAAAACAAAGTATCTGCAAATACATATATGAGAGACTCAATACTAACTATCTGACTGTCTATGAAGCCTCTATAATATTGAGATGGATGTTGGGACAGACCCCACAACATCCTAATAAAGAAAAACTAGGAAAGCGAAATAAAAGAGTCCTCCGAAATGTAATGAGGCTCACCACTGACTCTGGAGTGCTCAACTGGATCAACGGCGCACTGGATGCTGATCCTGGTTACTTGTGTCTGCATCATAATAAGATGCAGGCCAACTGGCATCAGTACATTGAATGTACGAGTATGCGAGTTGGAATGCTAAACCACAACTTAAACTTGAAAGGAGTACAAATGAACACTTACCTTAGCTCTGTTTAACTCATGAACAACTGAACTCAATATAAAGTAGTAAGACACATGCAATATATATAAACCTTGTAAAACAGTGTAAACAACTTAGTTCGTTAAAGATAAAACAATAACAAACTCAACTTTACTTAAATATAAAAGTAATATAACTTTTGTGGGAAATTCTCTAACCGACAACCACCACTATGAGCCTAAGTGGTGATACAACGTCTTGCCCACGCTACCAAAACTGTCATATACTTTGCCGTCATATAGAACGCTTAACTTAGTGGATCCACTAGTCTATGCTAAAAGCATCTTAAGGAGTCATTGAAAAAGTATGATCTTTTACTACCCATGATGGCTAAATGGTTTATGAAGACTTGAGTTAATATGAACTCGCATCCCCATATCGGTGCTCAATACTACTCCCAAAATATACTTAGCTCATATGTTTGTAAAAACAAAACTCTTTCTTTGAATTGAGATAATTACTCAAAACTTAGCTTAAAAGCTCTCTTGGAATCAATGTTCCCTTTCTTGCTCAAATGTGAAAACATTTATAAACTCTTTAAGAATACTTAGTCCCCTTATAGCTTTTTGAGAAATGAACTCAACTCTTTACTCTTTGCTTAACTTGAAACTTGAGCCTTAAAACGAAGTTAAAACGTTTGTTAAAGACTCTTGAAAACTTTAAGAAACTTTGTTTTGACTTGCTTTTTAACTTCTAGAATTGACTCTTAACTTCTTTGACTTTGATCTTAACTTTCCTTGAATTGAATTATGGATTCAAGGTTCATGATCTCATGTTTATGGATGATTTCATTATGTTTAGATGTACCTTAGAGTGTTGGATTCAACTAGAAAACGTAGGTACATCGATTAGAAACTAGTACGAAAAGATGGGGGAAGAATGGGGTGAACTGGTGTCCTTTGCGCTCTGAGAGGCGTGGGGCGCCAGGCCCCAAACTTCAGAGAAGTCTGTGGGGCGCTCTGGCTGTCTCGGCGCCCCATCCCCGTTACCCAGATGTTCTCGATTTTTCTTTTCCGTTTTTCATCTCTAAGCTCTCCAATCTTCCCTAGTTCCTTCCCCAAACACTTAGGATCAATTGAAACCTCAATACACAACCAATCTAACTCGAAAATAGCCCGAAAACATAAATCAACTCAACCCCCAAGCATCAACAATTCAACCAACAAGAACTTAACGAATTTCAACAAAGTTCTTCAAGAACTCCGTAACTTTTCATTCAATCAACAACCATTCTCTTAATAGAAATAAGATGAGAGTGTGGGTAAGCTAACCCAATACAAAAAGATCTCACATACCTTAGTAGGGATCACCCCCGACGAATTCCACTCGCAAGCTTGGATGATCTTAACGAATTCTTGCCTTTTTCTCCCTTTCTTTCTTCTTTTCTCTCTTCTCCAAGGCCTAAGCGTATTTCTCAATTCTCCAAACTGACTAAGTCATGTTTTTACCCCAATAAATCCCTAAAATCAAATTAGGAAATTAATTAGAGAAAAGACTACTTTGCCCTTCCCTAAATCCGGTTTGGGACTTTCCTCAATCCAACAGCCCAACTTTCGAAAGGCATATCTCACTCATAAGATGTCGAAATCATGCAATCTCGGCGGCGTTGGAAATATATATCCAAGGTCTTTCCAACCATATCAAGATCTGCTCCTAAATCCTCCTGAGCTAGGAGTTATGGCCGTTTCAAAATGGCCAAAACTCACTTTCTTAACTTAGACAAAATTTCTAGATTTCCTTATTCTTTCCAAAAATCAATATTTTCATATTTTAAACTCTTTATAATCGTTTCTAGGTGCGGGATGTTACACCTTCATAGGGAATTGGGGGAGCAATACATACCGTCTCACCACATTTATAGTGACTTTTGGGCATTTAGGGTCCTATTTACGGTTATCAAGCGATTTTCTTAATTTTTCGTGTGTTCTAGCCCATATAAACTTTTGTGATATGTCTTCTGGGCCTTTTTTTTTTGCGAAACATTTACGATTGGTTTAAATATTTAAAAGAAAATTTTGTTTCTTTGTTTGTTATGTTATAAGCTATAATACATTGAAAAGATATTATTTGGTGAAATTACAAATAAAAGATTTTTGTTAAAATTTGATAAGAAGTTGGGAAGGCTACCCCTATAATCCTTTACTAAGCCCATTTTTTTTTAGTACCCAATTCATCTCTGCCCAACTAAATATTGGACAAAGTTGGGCTAAGAACCTTGAATTGGCGTTCATGTTTTTTTTGTAAAACATCTTGGGCCATGAACATGTAAACATTGGTTCACAATATTGTGTAAATGACAGTCCAATACTTCCTCGATTCACTTTTACTTGTCACACTTTACTTTGTAAGCGATAATTTGGGAGAAGTACGCGGTTAAGCAAACTTATAGTACTTAATTACTCATCATAGCTATAGTTTGCTATAATTACCGCTCGCGACTAACCTTATACATTAATTACATGGGTTGGCTTGAGTTTGTATAATTAGCCACGTTTATATATGTATAATTTGCAGCTAACAATTCTTTGTTTGATTTGTATTTGTATATGATTGTTTGTATTTGTATATGACGATGATTTCCTTTGGTTTTTCAGTTTTGTCATCATATACATTCAATCATTTTGTGTATAACTTTTTAAAGTTTGTATAAACGTATAGTTTTTGGATTTTGTATAATATGATTTATATAATGTAATTTGTATAATTGTTTAAAGTTCATATATTTATGTTTGTATCAATTTGTTATTTCGAGTTTTACTATATTTGTATAATTCCATACTTTATATTACTCAATTATACAAAAACACGTGAATAATACAAACGTACCTGCAAATTATACAAACGAGATGCGAACTATACAAATTGTTGTCCTCTCTCGCTCG